TTGTGGCAAACCTTGTGATCTTTGGTGTGTACGCATAGCTCTCATCACGTAAAACAACTTTTGTTCTTGCCCCAAAGAGATCCAACAATTGGATCATCGTAGATCAGAGGTGGAAGCTTGGAGAATTTTGGTTTTTCTCTTTTCTTTCTTTTCCAAAAAACCCAGCAATATCGGGGGGGGGGGGGGAATCTAATTTTTTCCCTTTTTTAATATTCTCCAATGCTTGGCTCTCATTGGGCCACACATCCATTTTTTTCTAATCCAATTTTATCGCAAATCAGTTAAATCTCGTCCTGTGTTAAGTTTAAGGTATTTCTTTTGAACTAAGTTTAAATTATTTCTCGGGTATTATGAAAAAATTTTGATTGTGTAAAACCCGATTGCCTCAGAAAACGCAAAATTCTGACTATCTCATCATTCAACGAAAATTGACTAGACAATTAAATTTCATGAGATGAATCCAATGATGAGGTCTGTTTCGTCATTCCAATTCTAAAAAATTTTGGATTTTTAACTCTTATTGTAACAACTAATCACCGTTTTGCCCTTTATAATAAAATTTTTTTTCTAAATGTTACAATGTGCCACATGTCACTGTTTGATTATTTGTAAATCCTAGAGAGTCAATTATAATGCGACATTTGTCCACTTAGATAAGATTAGTTGATTAATCTTTTAATTATATTATGAGTCCCACGACAAAAACCCGTTCGCTGAAATTTTAATTGCACATCACTTAATTGCACGTTTCGCCTCGTTTTATGTAAATATTTTGACTCTCTTTGAATTTAATGAAAATTGACTGACTAACTCGGTTTCGCGAGAAGAATTCAATGATGAGGTCCATTTTGTCATCTAAATTATATAAAAATTTTATATTTTGAACCCGTACTTAAAAGGCTTAATTATCGTATTACTCATTTAATTAAGATTTTAATTTTCTTAGGTTTTATAGATTTACTTTCAAAATTAAAATACTTAATTTGAAACTAACACTCTGATTGAAATACTAAACTATATAAAAAGACGAGATTCTTTTTCAAATGCTTGCATTATTTATAGAATTTTGTAAACAATATTAGTAACAGTCACTTTAGCAGAAATGAGATTTACAAAACTAAAATTGACAAAATCTTATTTACAATTAATTATGTCTCAAGAAAGATTAATGAATGGGTTAGCTATTTTATCTAGTGAGAAATATTTATTGACAAAATTTGAATATAAAAACTTGATCAATATTTTTGCTTCTTAAAAAGAATTTTCTTAAAAATATATAAAAAATTAAATTAGAATAATTAAAAATATTATGTATTAATACATGAAATATTAACAAGGCCCCGTATTAAGTTTTCGCCTAGGACCCCATTTACATTGGGCCACCCCTGTACCATTATTTTGGTGCACCAACTTTTCTTGTATTTTTAAAGAGCTTTGGGGGTTAGTTTAATATTTTGGGCTAACTTATCATCTTTTTTATTCACTTTCCTCTTTTTAAGTTCACTTGCCATTTTTTTTTTTGCATGTCCTTCACAAGATTTTGGAACGATATTATGACATTTTTGTTGTATTTATAAGTTTTTAGAGTTTTGTTATAACTTTTAGATGTATAAATTTTTTGACCACATTAGGATTGATCCTTCATTTTTGTAGGATTGATCATTAATTATTTTAGGATCAATAAAATATCACGATTGATCTTGATAACCCTACATGATATCTTTTTATAATCCAATGTCAACCAATCTTCTATTGACACACACCCTTCTCTTTCTATCAAGTTGGACACAACATGGATCAATCATGAAATTTACAAATTTAACCTTTAATTTCATTAAATTACCATTGGATTTCATCAATTTAATATTCAATTTCATTAAGGAAACATCCAATTTCATCAACTTAAAATTCAATTTCATGAAATTAACATCTAATTGACCTTCAATTTTCATTAACTTATCTTGCAAATCCATAAATTAGATTTCAAATTTATTCAATTAACTTATAATTCATCAACCTAACATTCAATTTTATCAATTTAAAATTCAAGTTTACCATTTAACACTAATTTGTCCTTTTACTTCTTATAATAAACATAAGATTTCATATTTATCTAATTAACATTCAAATTCATCAAATTGACAAAAAATTAATAGTTTTTTTTTTGGGGGGGAAAGGGAAGGGAAAAGGGAAGGGGACTTGATCCTTTGACTTCAATAAGACAAAGCCTTCATAAGCCAATGAATACCATTGAACCAAAAGTCCATTGGTACTAAAAATTAATATTCAATTTCATAAGTTTACAATTTAAGTTTATCAAATTTTCACAAATTAGCTTTCAAGTTAATCCAATTAACACTAAATTCCATCATTTTAACATTCAATTTTATCACATTAACCCAAATTGATGTTCAATTTAATCAAATTAGTAACAAATTTACCTTCAATTTCATCAAATTAATATTTCATTTCATCAAATTATCATTCAATTTCATAAACTTAACATTCAATTATAATTTAATTCATCAAATTAACATCGATTCCATCATTTTAAAATTAAAATTTATTGAATTAACTTTAAATTAATCTTCAATTTTCTATAATTAACATACTAATTATGAAATTAAAGGTCAAATTTGAATTAACATATTAATTTTGTGGAATTTAATGAAAATTGGTGAAATTGAATACTAATTTTATAAAATTCAAGGTCAATTTGGCATTAATTTGGTGAAAGTAGAATTTGAATTGATGATTTTGACTGTTAATTTGTGGAATTAATAGTTTATTTGGTAAAAGTAAGGGTTAAATTGATGAAATATTATATTAATTTGATAAAATTGAATGTCAATCTCATAAAAATTGAATGTCAAATTGATTAATCGTAATGTTAATTTGATGAAATTAAAGTTTGACTTGATGAATTTAAATGTTAATTGGTTAAAATTGAAGTTCAAATTGGTGATAATTTGATGTTAATTTGGTGGAATTAAGTGTTAGACTGATTAATTTAAATTTTAAATTGATGTAATTGAATGTTAATTTGATTAATTAAATTAATTGGACAAAATTAAATAGTAAATTTCTAAATTTACATGAAAATTTGATGAAATTAAATGTCAATTAGCTGTTAATTTCATGAAAGTGATGTAATCAAATCGTAATTTGATTAATTGGGCGATTGGTTCATGGTGTCTCCAGTTGGATATAAAGACAAGGGTATGTGTTAATATATGATTGGTTGATGTTGGATGTTTAAACCTATGTGGAGTTATCAAGATCGATCATTATATTCTACTATCGATCCGATCCTATTGCAGGATGATCGATCCTAGAAAAGTTAAGGATCAATCCTAATGTTGTATGATCAAAACAAAATATGTTTTCAAAAGGTCGAAACAAAACTCTAAATACTTGTAAATGCATCCTAAAGGTCATAATATCATCCCAAAATGTGGTAAAGGCCAAAAGGTGAAAAGTGAACCCCACAAGACACAAAGTGGAATAAAATGTGATAAACAACACCCAAAAGCTCGTAAATAGACACAAAGTTACCAAGTTTTATCTAAAATTGAAATACTTTAAAAAAATGATATTTTTAAATAAAACAGGTGGTTAGTTTACTCCAAAAGATAATAAAATCGCCCAAAAATATGGTATCTCCTCACAAAACATGGTTAGTTGACCCAAAAGATGATAACATTTCCAAAATGTAATATCATCATATGGCCAAAAAGAGGTAATTTCAACTCAAAAGATTATAAAATCACCCAAAATGATGGTATGTCCACCCTAAAAGATGTTATGTACACCCCCAACAAGCAGCAAGTACACCCCAAAAGGGGCAATGTCACCTAAAAAATTGATAAATTTACCCAAAAGATGATAACCTCACTCTAAAAGATTATAATAATGTCACTCAAAAAATTTATAAGAGCCCAAAAGATAATAACCTCACCCCAAAAATGATAGTCTCGCTTTAAAAGGCAAAAGATGGAAAATTCACCCCAAAAGTGATATGCATCCAAAAATGGTAAGAACATCCAAAATATAGTAAATACCCCCAACAGCTAGTAAGTACAATTCAATCCTCGTGGATCTATCATGAATACTATAGATTGATCCCAATGTGGTTGGATCGATCAACGTTGTTCAATAGTGAACTGGTTGTATCTTGGATGGATCCATGAAATTTGGTATTAGAGACATTGATTGATCAATGTTTTCATTGGGATCGATCTGTTTGATGCTGCCATCCAATGCCAGTTATTTTCCTTGGATTACCCATTGAGTAGGTAGCGTGTAGAGAGTGAACTTTTAATTAATCAACGATTGCAAGACATTCAATCTTAAATCAATGGTCCTAGTTATTTTTGCGGCACAATACCGAAAAAGCATTTTCAGTACTGTAGAAGGCCCTTCTAAGAAATATCAAAATGGGGAAAATATAGACCAATATGGCACGTAATTCATTTCCAAACTACCATGCGAATTGTAGGAATTTTCTTGCACTTGTTTTCTTCTCACGTTTCTCATTTCATGTCTTGAAAACTGGTAAGAGTATACAGCTGACAATGTCAGGCGAGTTCTTTGAATTGCTTGTACATGAAAGTTCACGTTTTTCTCCTCTTCCCTTCGAAGCTCTTTCAAAAACCAAGTTATGCAGCATGCAATGTACAGGAGATTAAGTTTCTCGAAAGGCATATATATTGTAACCTACAAAAATACAGCTGCAGAAACAAATAGAAAAAGCTCCGATACATCCCCGGACAGGTTGGATCTTCATTCGTAGGATAAAACTTCATAGCCGAAAGGTATTCCATTTCTATTGCTTCCAAGAATCATAACTTTCACTGCAATGTGGAAACTATTTCAAGAAATTGAAGCGAGGACCATCCCAAGGTGTGCAGCTAAATTGTATTCAACTCTGCAATGGGGAAGCATAATTGAACCAACATATATGGTCTGGTGAAGACCACAATTTTCCAAGCATATATCCTCTACATTTTTCCATCTTCCACTGTTTCTGCATCTTCTGTTTGACTGGCCAGTTTGACAATGTCTTCCACAAGGATTTTTCCTTCTGTTGCAAAGTTAAAGAAACAAATAAATAAACCAACAGAAAGGGGTGGAAAAAGGTAGCAACCAGCATCTTATATTGCTTGAGCAACACAAACATGAGCAAGACATAAAATTTCGTGGAGAAATAGGACACCATAAAAAATACAAAAAAAATACAAGCATTTTGATTCAGACAGCATTCCCAACAAAGTTTATGTTTTTGATATGCTCCTTTAGTTCATAGAAGTCAATTGCATAGATTGGACAAGACTGTCAAGATAACAAACCACTTGCTGGTCAATATCAAAATATTGTTATCTGCTCTCCAACAATATTTGTTAAGTAACTAATTAGTTTAATTTAAGGGTTAGGTTGGATCTTCCAGCTGGGGAAGGGAAAGACTGGTTTGCTATGCCTCAGATAAAAATATTGGTGCCCTGAAAAGCTAGCAAGTCTAATAGATTGCTTTCATTTCCATAGTGTGTCAAAACATTACTTAAAAATAAATGAAAGCAAAATGCAACGGAAGATGGGGTTGTATTCCTATCAGGCTTGATGACTGTTATCACTTAAAGTCCACCGAGGGAGTCAAGGAAATGTAAATTTGAACTTCAATCAATTATGTGAGGTAGAAAAATCAGAACCAGAATGAACTTTTGTTGCTGACCTTTATCTTTGGAAAGTTTAGTGATGAGTTTTTGAACACCCTCCTTGTCCAAGGTGTCCTTAAGGTAAATGGCCGCAGATGCTACCTCCTCAGGGGTAACTTTGCCATCATAATCCCTGTGCACATATAAGTTCAAAAATTATTCGTTTGCACGACCTTTTCTCATTTAAAATATATCAATTGCCTATTGACAAGAATGAATATTATCGAACATTCATAGAGAAGATCAAAATTTTAAGGAATATCAGGAAATGATATGCACATACCAGACAGTATATTAGAATGTCCTTGGTCAAAGATGCAACCATCATGCAATTTTTGAGGTGTACCTGGTCTAATTTCAACTCATGATTCCTATAAGTGATTTCATTGACTGCATAACCACAATGCACAATGCATTCCTATCACTACGTTAACAGCCTCAGTCCTCCATCAACCAAAACTTTCCTTTATTTTGACAACAAAACCATGTGGTCTAACAGTGGTTTATCAGAAACTATCCTGTTCGGTGAAGGGTGAACACTAAAGCCTTGTTGTGAATCATCCTATGAAGATAATACAACTCCAGTTATCATAGATTTGGATATATCAAGAGGCAAAACCCACAAAGATGATTTAATGCTTATGCTTTGAGAGAAAGGATATGGTCAAAATGGTGAACACTGTAAAAGTTTTTTACTTTGTCTCCATTCCCACTAGGCTAACTCCTCTAAGGTATTTGATCATAACAAACCATTATCCCAGAGTCTATCACTTTATCCACTATGACCGATTACAAGATGCAATCTCCAAATGTACCTATCAAGCAAACGCCAACGATCACCAATTTTCTCATCCACTTCATCAATTTCCTGTTCAAGCTTTTGAAGCATAGCATCAACCTGAAAACAAGGAACTCGAGTGATAATTGTAGAACACATTGCAATGCAAAAGGCAGCTAGCTACTAGAAGAATTCGGAAGCATCGAGGCACTCATACCCTGTCTATGAGGGCAGAAGAAACTTTATCACCTACAGCTCTATCAGCCATGTGTTCACCATCCTCCCTAGCAGCTCTGTAGGCCTTCTTGGCTGCTGCTTCACCCTCATTACCTTCTTTCTCCACCATGCTATTGTACAACTCTATCTGCAAGTTACATTATATCAAAGAACAAATATAAACTACGGCAGAAGTCAGAGAAGTAAAAAGGAAAGAGTGCATGTAACAGTGCATCAGGATGCAATATTATCATACTCTAAAGTGTGAATATCAAATAATCAAATCACACAACGATGTAGAGAATGTCATCAATTTAGTTGTCCTCATTGTAGAATCTTCTTCTTCATATTAATATAGTTGAATTATTATGGCATTAGGGTTTTGGAGAATAAGAGGGAAGAAGAGAGAAAAAGATAAGGAAAAGTGTATATTGTATTAAGTTAAACAAACACATCAACATATAGATATTCATACAATGCAAAATACTAAACTACCCTTATGCTAGCATTAATGCATAAAATACCACTCCCCCTCAAATTGGTGCATAGATATCTCTTATGCCCAACTTGCAAAAAATGGGATGAAAAACCATGCTATTAAGCTCCTTTGTGAAGATATCAGCCAACTGATTCTTTGATTTTACAAAAGGCATGCATGCAAATCAAACCGTTGTTTAATTTCTCCTTAATGAAGTGTCGGAAAATTTCAACATGTTTTGTTCTATCATGTTAAACTGGATTGTGGGCAATGTTGATAGAAGCCTTGTTGTTGCAGAATAACTTCATAGGTCCATCTTCAGAAAACCGCAACTATCTCAGTAGTGTTCAGAACCACAAAAACTCACAAACCCCATGGGTCATAGCTCCATATTCAGCCTCGGCACTAGACCTAACAACCACTGCTTGCTTTTTGCTGTACCATGTAACCAGATTACCTCCAATCAAGGTACAATAGCCTGAAGTTGATCTTCTATCATCCACTGAACTTGCCCAGTCTGCAACACTAAATGCTTTGAGACGTTCGAGGATTATGCATGAATTGACTAGTACACTCACTACACAAGCAATATCCGGTCAGGTATTTAACATACAAATTAATCTCTCCACTAATTTTTGATATCTCTCATTTTCTACTACCTCACCAATACCACTACTTAGTTGATGGTTGGCTTCAATAGGGAAATCAGTAGGTCTACATCCCAACATCCCCGTTTCTTCTATAAGGCCAAGAACATACTTTCTCTGAGAGATAAAAATATTTTTATCTAACGTGACAACCTCAACCCCAAGGAAGTATCTCAATGACCTGTGTCTTTGATTTCAAATTTCTTAGTCAACTGAGCCTTCAATTTCGTGACTTCATTATATTCATTTTTACTTATCACTATGTCATCCACATATACAATGAGGACAATAATCTTGTCATCCACCTATCTAACAAACATGGTATGATCAGCCTGACTCTGTGTATATCCAAAGTTTAACATAACTTTAAGGAACCTATCAAACCTGGCCCTAGGGGATTGCTTCCATCCATAAAGAGATTTCTTCAATTTACACACCTTCCCTTCAGTTCAGCCCGACTCTGTTTATATTCAAAGTTCAGTATAGCTTTAAGGAACCTATCAATCCAAGCCCTGGGGGATTGCTTCAATCCATAAAGAGACTTCTTCAATTTACACACATTCCCTTCATTTATTTGAGAAGAAAATCTCCATCTATATATCCTCCTCCAAATCTTCATGAAGAAAAGCACTCTTCACATCCAATTGCTGCAAAGTCTACCCCAAATTAAATGCACAAGAGATAAGTGCACGTATGGAGTTCATCTTTGCCACAAGAGATAAGTGCACATAGAGTTCATCTTTGCGACATAAGCAAAAGCCTCTTGATAATCAATAACATATGTCTACTAAATCCGTTAGCAACCAACCTCACTTTGTACCTCTCAAGAGTCCTATCAACTCATTGTTTGATAGTAAACACTCATCTACACCCTACTATCCGTGCTCATGGAGGAATAGAAATAAGCTCCTATGTGTCATTTTTTTTAAAGGTTTTCATTTCCTACATCATAACTTCTCTTCACTTGGGATCAGCAAGAGCCTCTTTTCAACCCTGAGATATAGATATAGAACGCAAGGAAAAAACAAATGCACGATATGATGAAAAAAAAATCATAAGAAACAAAGTTAGGGATAGGATGTTGAGTATAAGGACATACACCTTTTCTAACTGTAGTAGGAAGCTCAGAGTCATCAACAACCGAATTATCCAAAACCGGCATAGCATCTAGATATTCATTACCTAATAAATCGGTGGAAGATGGAACTAAATTAGAGGAAGTCAACTGGCTCGATGCACATGGGTTATCTGTACCATCTGACACCGAGCATACTCCATAAGTTGTTGTTGCTCTCCCTTACTAATATCCCATTGAACAGACAATTGAAGAAGGGGCTCCAGACAACATATCTTCCTTTATAGTGATATTCTCCCTCTTTAGAGATGTTTGGATAGTAGGGAAAAAAGGCCCAAATTCCCTAAAGGTGACATTCATGCTAACATGCATTTTTTGAGACTGTGGATGATAGCATTTATAACCTTTTTGGGTGGCAAAATAACCAACAAAGACACACTGCAAAACCCTATGATCAAGTTTTTCCCTAGATAGTCTGTAATCATGTACAAAACACACATTGAAAAACTTTAGGAGGAAGGGAAGAAATAGAAAGGATGGAAGAAGACTCAGAAAGGCACTCAATTGGTGACATAAACCGAAGAACACTTGAGGGTAGACAATTAATAAAATAAGAAGCAGTGAGAACCACCTCCCCCCAGAAAGAATGAGAAGCATTCATAATAAACAACAATGAACAAGTAACCTCAAGAAGACGACGATTTTTCCTCTTAGAAACACCATTTTGTTCAGGGGTACTAATACAAGTGGTTTGATATAAAATTCTATTCTCATTGAGGTAAGAACAAAAGTCGACATCAATATACACTGTTCTATTATCACTATGAAGAATTTTGACTCTGACATTAAATTGGTATTGCACCATTTTATGAAAAGATCTAAAGCATAAGAAAACTTTACCTACACTACGTAGTAGGTAAGCCCATGTAAGACGAGAATAACAATTAATAAATGTAACAAACCAAATATAACTAGAAATAGACATAACAAAGGAAGATCTCCACATTTTGGAATGAATAACAACAAAATAAGTAGTGCTTCTATTATTAGTATTAAGATAAGATGAACGTTTATGCTTGGTAAATTCACAAGCATCACAAATAAAAAATTGTCTACTACACTACTTTACTAGATTAGGAAAAAGGTACTCTAAAACACCAAATGAGGGATGTCCTAAACGTCTGTGCCACTGATGTAAGATCTAAAAGGCAAAAACACCATCTGCCTGGAAAACTTGACAAGTAGGCAAAGAAAGAACTTTAACATCCAGGAGATACAGACCACCATGTGCTCTACCACTGTCAATCTGTTTCCCCGACTCCAGTTCCTAAAAGGTACAATGAACAGGGAAAAAGTCACACAATTCAAGAATTTTGTAATACTACTAACAAAGAATAAATTAGTGAAGAAATTGGGAACATAAAGAATAGACGAAAGAGATAAAAAAGGTGAGCAACTAATTGAACCTCTCCCAAAATAAAGGATAAAGATCCATCGACCAACTTAACTTTATCCCTACCAGAACATGTAGAATACGAAGAGAAAAGGCAAGAAGAACCTGTCATATCCATAACTCTAGAATCTATTATCTAAGAAGAACATAAGGATGATGTCATAAATGCACTAGCAGATATACCATTATGGACAAATTGGAAGAAGAGGCAGGGGTAGAAGCCGCAGTAGAGACATCAAGTCGAGCCATCAGATGCCTAAGAGCCTGCATCTCATCCTGAGAGAAATTAGAGGGAGCAGACTACGATGAAGTATCTAAAGAGGTACCAACGGGTCTTTAATCCCATGCTACTCCTTACCTTTTGATTGCTTTCTTGAGGTCAAGGGGTCAAGCCCCCTTCTCCTTTTCCCTCCCAATCCCAAAAAAAAATTAAAAAAAAAAAAATATATCTGTGAAGAGGTAGTCATGTGTGCATAGGATCGCACATTACCCACTCGGCCACCACCTCGGTCACTTGTAGGACGTCTAATCAACTTCCCACAGAACTCTCTAGTATGCTTGGTGTTCCCACAATAATCACATTTTAAATTATCCTTGAGAACAGTGCCACTCGGCTCATTAGACTTGGGTAAGACTAAACCTATGTCACACTGAGGGATAACAGCTAAAGCAGACTGTTTTTGAAGAGGAGCATAAACTACAACAATCCTCCAGCTGAACATAGGCATAAACCTCCCGTAAAGAGGGAAATGGAGTACGCCAAAACTTAAACCTAAATCTGATCATACTCAATTTTAAGGCTAACAGGAAAGTCACTGACTCGTTCTTTTTTCACCATTTGCCGAAATTTGACCGCATCATTGGTACAATCTACTTGAAAATTTTGATAGTAGTCAAGCTCTCGCCATAAAGTGGTCAACTTTGTATAATAAATTGCAAGTGTTTTATCCTTCTGATTAGTCTCCTGGACTTTCTTTCGCAAATCATATGCCTTAGCATCATTGCTCCATTGATATTATGTGTCATATCAAGTAGCAAAAAACCACAACTAATAAATGGTTGCATTGAATTGAGCAACCAAGACATAATCAAAGTATTCTCAAATGTCCACCGCTTCAAGGAAGGACCAGACTCATTCTACTTCTTAGTCTCTCTAGTCAAGTACTTGTCTAAAAATATCGTCTGGACTAATAATAAACACACCCTCGACCATGTTAAAGGTAGTTGTTCCCATCCAATTTCTCCGAGCCAATTTGGAGAGAAGGATTATTTGCCACAGCACCCAAACGGCTCAACCCAATTCTTCCCGTATTTACCCCAACATTAATAGACGTTGTACTACCTTCAAACATGTTTACCCAATAGAATCAACACATAATAGTAAACAACCACAAAAAAATGCCACCAAATAAGTAGCCCACTACTAGAAAATACCACAAACTGTACCAAAAAGGAGTAACAAGATTGCTGAGACACA